CCACTCCCACCGCCAACACCACTCCCACCGCCAACACCACTCCCACCGCCACCGCCACCGCCAACGCCAACACCACTCCCATCGCCAACACCACTCCCACCGCCAACTCCATGCCCACTACCAACACCAGTCCCACTGCCAACACCACTCCCACCGCTAACTCCACTCCCACCACCAACCACTCCCACCGCCAACACTGCTCCGACTCCCACCACCAACGCCAGTCCCACCGCCAACGCCACTCCCACCGCCAACTCCACTCCCACCGCCAACACCGCTCCGACTACCACCACAAACACCACTCCCACCGCCGACACCACTCCCACCGCCGACACCAAGGGGATTGAACTTCTTTGTGACCAGCTCCTTCCAAGGAGCCAATGGGGATCTGTGTAGCATCTTTCAATTGTCAATTCACAAATGTATGAATGCTGTTACCGATACCATCATCTCATTTCCCCCATGATGAGGTCTGTGGTGAAGTCAGGAACCTAGCTAGCCTTCCCCTGGTGCAGGGTCCAAGAGACTGCGCACACATCACACTGAGAGGACCATTTTGTCATGGAGCTGGGTTCATCAATAGAAAATCAATGTGCAAGTGATCTGTGATAAACAGTGCTCCATGTTAGGCATCTTCACCAGATACCACGATGCCGATATTCTTGAGAGCTGTCATATTCCAATACTTCTGAGGATCCTGTTGGGTTTGAAGAATGGTTACTGGAGGATGAGGGCTACCCTTTGTAAGCTTGGCTGATGATTGTACAACCCCCCGGAATGGTGATAAATGCCACCCATTCTTTACCCACCTGTCAGTGTTGAACAATGAGAAGATGCTGGGCTACAATGGGCATAGCAGGAAGGGTAGCAGGGATTTTGAGAGGATTTTAAGATGGGATGTGCCTCAGGATATGTAAGCTGTGCAGCTTAGAGCATGGTCGCAATATTCAGGAGTGTGTACCACAATGGGACTTATGTGGGCAGCACGGTGGCTCAGTGGTTAGCACTGCTGCCTCACAGCACCAGGGACCCAGGTTTAATCCCACTGTCTGTGTGGAGTTTGCACATTCTGCCCGTGTCTGCGTGGGTTTCCTCCAGGTGCTCCGGTTTCCTCCCACAGTCCAGAGATGTGCAGGTGAGGTGCATTAGCCATGGGAAATGTGTGGTTCCAGGGATAGGGTAGGGGTGTGGATCTGGATAGGATGCTCTTCGGAGGGTCAGTGTGGACTTGATGGGCCAAATGGCCTGCTTCCACACTGAAACGATTCTACCTGAACAAAAACATTGATACGATATTAAAGGGAGTGTTCCTTTTTTTTCAATGTTTCCCACTCTCGGGTAAATTTCTTTCTCATCTTGTCCAGCTCCATTCATATGAATCCTGCAAACCTCTTCCCTCGTGGATTGATGATCTTATTGAGCGGGTGAATTTCTTCAGGACCTGGTCAAGGCAATTTATTGCAACTGCTCAGAAAAGGTACAAACAGCCAGATCTCCAATGATTACTCTGCTATCAGATCCCTGTGTCCCTGATCTCCAGTGATTACTCTGCTATCAGATCCCCATATCCCTGATCTCCAGTGGTTACTGCGCTATCAGATCCCCATGTCCCTGATCTCCAGTGATTACTCTGCTATCAGATCCCCGTATCCCTGATCTCCAGTGATTACTCTACTATCAGATCCCTGTGTCCCTGATCTCCAGTGATTACTCCGCTATCAGATCCCTGTGTCCCTGATCTCCAGTGATTACTCTGCTATCAGATCCCTGTGTCCCTGATCTCCA